TACCTGTTCGTTGACGGATCGAAAACAATTTTTCAAACTTTACTTTAACAGAGGAATATAATTTATTGTCAAGTATTGTAAACTCAATGATATTCAATGTGCTTATTAGACAATTATGTATTCATGCGCATTATCATGATTTGATATAGCATTAAGTATATACGAGGCGCAATGGAGAAAAAAATAAAGGGATTTGGCTCTCTCTATGAGACATGATTTACAAATAGGGATAATTACATGCGAGCAAGAGAGCGTACATTTACGATTGTACGTATGTATAATGTATTCATCATAAGCGAATATCAGTTTCACGTACTAAATCGCATCGCCGGTTCATGTACCACTGTCGAAAAGGGGTACAGTTATTCCCTTGTGGCTGGTGCAGCGATATTCATAACGTAATAATTGTGACTGCTATGCACATTACGAATTGGCTTGTACCGCATAGAATATCACGCTTAGCGATCAAATAATTGAGGATTTAATGAGAAAGCGATATAAGTGAAAAGCGATAAGAGCAAATGCTCTGCTTCCCATTAATTCTCAATAACAATTAACGAATCTTTAGAAATATCGATTTTCATCGAAAGAATTGTATTCTCAAAGTAAGATACTATAAAATCTTTTTTAAAACAGATATTTTTAAATGTTATTCAAGAACGTATTCTTTCTTAATAACAAACAATCGTATGTTTTTTATCTGAATCTTGGATAAAAATTCTTGAAGAAAATTATGTATTTTTTAATCATATATAAAAATAATTCTCACATTTTATCTACATTTTTAAATTAGAAATACCTGATACTAATCTTTAGAGGATATTATTCTTAGATAGAAACATTTAGATTTTTTTAGATAAAGACATTGAAATTTTTGATGCCTATTTTAAAATAGAATATTCTAAATGTAACTAGAAAATTTTTTAAATTAGAATACAATTTTTTCAGTGTTATAATAAAAACATTGAACACTGTATCTACAATATTGAAAGATATTTATTTGTGTGTTTCATAAAATATTTTCATTAATATTTATCTTTAGCATTTTGTGATTTTCGTACATCCATCACATAGAAATAACGATATTCTCATAATTCGTGTCGAAAGAGATTTTCGTTCACGTCGATGACTTGCAAGAAACTTGAATAAACGTCGTCATAAAGAATGCCATAGAGATCGGATGCTTTGGTCCTACGAGTATACGTTGACGTAGAGAAGGAAAGTTGACATTAAAGAAACGACGATTAAAATTGCCTGCCGGCGTTGAAATTTATTCTAACCGATCACGCACTAATCCCAGACACTGGAGGAATATTTGAGAGAAAATATAGAACAAGTCTATAAGTGACATTATGACATAGCTCCTTAGCGAGAACACAGACGTTATTTTGACAAGCAATTTACGAGAGAAAGAACAACAGGCAAAGTAAATTGACTGGAGAAAATATTTGCGCAAGATAACTTTGCATAAATAGTAATTGCACTCTAATATATATTTTTTATAGAATAAAGTGGCAAGAATATTGAAAATACAGACATATAAATTTTCGCTTTGAAATAAAATATAGCAATCATCAAAGATATAATATAATTTATTTCACTTAGTTTTTATATTATACATCGAATGAATAGGAATAACCGCATTTCATTAATAAAATCAATTTACATATATATATATATATTTAGAAAAGTAACGAGAATATTGAAAATGGGAACATAACAAATACAGAAATATACATATACGTATAAATTTTATTTTATAATACAATATCACAATCTGAAGATATAAAATACATATTAAAAATTTACAGAGCGAGAATTTATTTTACCTGTCTATTTATACTATAATAATATTGAATGATTGAGTAACAGCAATCGTGTTGTACTTCTAATCGTTACACTGGAATTAGCCGTGCAAAAGGTTGGAATGAAAAAAATGTAGTTTTCTCTCCCAATAGATTTGTCGTTGCCATTCCAATCATTTTTCTCCGTCTGCGGAAAGCAGTGCGAGGAAAAATTTTAGGTATTCCGACATTGATTTTAGCTTCGGTTAAAAGAACTGTTTCCGTCTTGCCGATTGGATTGTTCGTCGATTCCTATTGACCAGTGGAATTTAATTATAAGTCCTGCATTTCGGATGCAGATGAGAACTCGCTAGAAAGTTTTATGCCAACGTATTCGCTTTAATCCCAATCATTGTTCATTCTGTCTTTCTGTTTTACCGCTTGTTAGCCGTTTGTTACGATCAGGCACAAATAATATATTACTATTAAATTACTTTATACAATTCGATATAATTCGCTACTTCTCAATAGAAGATTACGAAAGATTCAGATCTCAGATATTTTTTTAGACAGACTGATGTATTTAAATTCGGCGAGAAAATTCATGCAAGAAAATTGCTCGAAGCTGTTAAAGTATAATCAGAACGTCTGCTGTGTCAAATACGTGTGAATAGAATGTGCTGCGTAATCGAGCAACCATAAGTCTCTTCTTACGTCTATTAGCTTGACGTAAATCTCTTTCTTCCGTTACAAGAGCCGCGTCTAAAATCTGTTGCTAATTTTGTAAGCGTAACATATTTTCTAAGAGGCAGGAGAGAACCCTTAATGCAGATGAGCGCGGCGCAAAAGTTCCGTGATCGCGCTAGAAATATTCATAAGCTACGAAAAGCCATCGGCCAAACGATCGATCGCGAACTAGCGATTTATACGTCGTTATAAAAGTTTATATCTCACCTCGTCGTCGCGATAAATTCTTCGATAACTTTGACGAAGCCGGCTTATGGTCGCTGTGTCGCATGCACATCGTACCATCTTCCTCTCTTCCAACCATCTACAGTCCAAGTTTTCCGCCGCGCCCATCATATTTTATAAACATTCTTTTAAGTGGATCTGAAAGGCGCCATTAAGGGTAAGAGGCTAAAAACATGGGCAAAAAGAGAGAGAGAGAGAGAGGGAAATGCAAGATAGTAAAGTTGTATCTCGGATCGATATACCTACGTGTGTTTTTTTTTTATAAATTATTTATTAATTGTTCTTACTTAATTATAATACATAATAAAAAAAAAAGAGAAATCGCAGCCAATTAAGTTTATAGAATTAATGATATAGAAATATATCAATTTTTATAGCAAATTGATAAAGTCTAACTTGTGGTAATTTTTCAAAAATTGTTCCTACGGTACGTTAATAAAAAAATTATATTTAACAAAAAAAAAGAAGATAAATTGTAGCTACGTGTGTTTTTTTTATATTATTTATTAATTGTTCTTACTTAATTATAATACATAATAAAAAAAAGAGAAATTGTAGCCAATTAAGTTTATAGAATTAATGATATAGAAATATATCAATTTTTATAGCAAATTGATAAAGTCTAACTCGTGGTAATTTTTCAAAAATTGTTCCTACGGTACGTTAATAAAAAAATTATATTTAATAAAAACAGAAGATAAATTGTAGCTACGTGTGTGTTTTTTTATAAATTATTTATTAATTGTTCTTACTTAATTATAATACATAATAAAAAAAAAGAGAAATTGCAGCCAATTAAGTTTATAGAATTAATGATATAGAAATATATCAATTTTTATAGCAAATTGATAAAGTCTAACTCGTGGTAATTTTTCAAAAATTGTTCCTACGGTACGTTAATAAAAAAATTATATTTAATAAAAACAGAAGATAAATTGTAGCTACGATTATCGTTTATTAATAATTTTTAGGAAATTACTAATTATTTCATAACTGAAATTTCGCGAAAGTTCGTGGTTGTTGCATCTCTTTAAGTCCGTTGCAAGACACCTGTTCGGTGTACGCTTAACTATGGAAAGAACTTTCATAACTTGCTTGTTTGAGATTTTTTGCAGGAAGAGAAGACGTTGCGGATATAAAAACGGATGCTATATATATGGGAAACATATATGATATAGGCGAGAACGTTATGGAATTATAACGAAGTATTGGAGAAATGCACGTGCATCTAATTTAGATGCACATCCGTAACTCGTACAAAGTTGTGTTTATTCTATATACCATATCTAACTCGATAGACAGATTTTATGGGCCGTATTTTCCTATTAAAATAATATTGATGATGATGGATATCGTTGAAACTTTTAACGCAATACTAACTTTTAACAAGCCACTCTCATTCCTCAAACTTTCGTGGCACAACAATGTTTTTATTCTATCATCATTCTTCAATATAACAGATCATGTAGAATGCAAAAATATTCAAAGGACGGCATATGATATATCACGTTGTGTATGCAATAATAATATATTAATAATACTTGTTATCCTAAATTTGATGAATTTAATTCTTTATTTAACAATATATATATATATATATATATATATATATATATATATATATATTTAGACAGATATATTTGAATTGATAACTATCGCGCGCAATCACATATATTTTGCCTAAAGCTGATAAAATGGAGATTTCAAATAATCTCAATTATTTTCCATTACTGGTAACATGGAGTAATTGTAGAGCTTGCAGAGCTTTCGTAAGCTCGCTTTACATCAGTTGGTAAAAGGAAAGAACTTGAACTTTCAACTTAATCTTTTATCGATAAATTTCTCTCCTATGATATTTACGAAATTGTATATTAAAAATATGGACGATGATATATAGAAATACGTATATATGATAATGTAGAATTCACAGCATAAAACAGAAAAGTTGAAACTTATTTAAAGAATAACTTTTTAAATTAAATTTCGGGAAAGAGACAACAAGAAATACAATATTTTCATATCAATGTTTATTTTATTTATACTCTCATAATACTGACACAGATTTATTTCATGAGATGTGCATTTATAATATAATATTATTGTATATTAAACAAAAATACATATTGTAATGAAAATACGTTGTCGAAGAAAAAAGATTACGAAATATTACATATTATTTAACATTTGATACAAATGTAATTGTGTGTGTGTAGTGTGGTATAATATAAACTTAATATATTGGCAGTTAAAAAAAAAAAAAACAATATTTTATAAAGAATAATTTCGCCACATGTAAAAAAGAAAATTGACAAATCCAGCACAGAGTTCAATAATAACTGCGTGATAATTGATACATGCTGCATTCCACTGATCATGAACAGCAGCTTGCTTTTCACCTGCAATGAAATTTAATAGACAATAAGATATAGTATTTCATCAAAGAATATCATGTGTGTATTTGCGAGTTTGTTGAAATTAAATTAAACTAAATGCTACAGTTTTCTTTTCTCATAAATAATTCTACAGATTATACATTTTACGGAAATCACAAACTATTTAGACGTTATATATTTTAATAATATCTATTTAAAAAAAGTAAAAATAAAATCGAAAGTAATGTTATTTAACATTATTTATATATTCGCTACTTGTATGCGGTAAATTCTATTTAATTCTATTCGATGCAATTTTATTCGATAACATTTTTTAAATAAATAATTTAAATAAACAATATATAGTCTTTAAGTAAATAATGTAGTCTTTAAATATAAGACTTTAAATAAAGAATTTAAAGACTATATATTTTACGGAAATCACAAACTATTTAGACGTTATATATTTTAATAATATCTATTTAAAAAAAGTAAAAATAAAATCGAAAGTAATGTTATTTAACATTATTTATATATTCGCTACTTGTATGCGGTAAATTCTATTTAATTCTATTCGATGCAATTTTATTCGATAACATTTTTTAAATAAATAATTTAAATAAACAATATATAGTCTTTAAGTAAATAATGTAGTCTTTAAATATAAGACTTTGAATAAAGAATTTAAAGATTATATATTTTACGAAAATCACAAGCTATTTAGACGTTATATATTCTAAATTCATTTATTTATATAAAAAGCAAAAAAATACGCAACGTCGAAAGCAACGTTATTTATATATTAGCTAATTGTGTGCGGAAAATTCTATTTAATTTACCATTTAGGACATGAATGTGCACCGCGGTCGTACTGAATTGGCTTACTGAGCACGTATATTCGCCGCTATCAGTCTTTTTCGCTTGTTCGATATAGAACCTCGTCACCACGTCCTCGTTCGATCTGCAAAAAAACAGGTTACCGAATTATACAGTGTTATATTATACGTTCGCGTGATATATATAACATTAACTTTCGTCCGCAGAATTTTAATAGAAAGTAAAAATGTATTCGTATTTCAGTATAAATTAATATGAAATATATAATATAAAAATAAAACATATCTTTAGATGATTATGTGTATAAATTTACGCACCAAATGAAAATGTATAAAAGTATATATAAATAATAATTATACAGGTATGAATATAGATATCTGACACAATCAATTTAACGATATAAATTTCATAAAAAATTCTCTAGTAATTGAAGTTAGTATATATGTAGGATAATTCTGACAACTACAATGAGATATGAGATACTGCTGGTTTTTAAATAAAGATATAAAAAATGATAGAGGAAATTAATCCATACTGAAAGGATTAACTTCTTATAACATCGCTTTTGTTGCAGGTGCATTGTCTGTTATAAATATGCAACAAATGGTGTCATAGAAAGTCTTCAGTACATCCTCATGCAATATTTTCCTCCCTTATTTTTTTCTATGTTCATTTATAAAACAGAATTCTGTCTCAATTGTCAGAATTATCCTGTATAATTTGCAACATTGTAGAGGCATTAATTTATCATTTATATGTTCTGCGTGGAATTTCCGAAATATATTTTTCTACCCTTCAATTCTAATGTCACCGAAAGAGTTCGATATTATATTCCCCGAAACTCCGCCTGCATTTTAGTAATTTTCTCCTTTCTCTCTCTCTCTCGTGTTAAGAGCAAGAACTTCTTATATTACGTCGATACAAATAATTCTTGAGCATTAATCCAACTGGCTTGAACACACAGTTCCGTGCTATTTACGTGACTCGTAAAAGATAAGACTCGCGGAAAAACGTCTCTCTTCCCCTAAAAAGCGAAAGAAAGATGGATTGTCATTGTAAGTCGTCTCGAGAAAGGATCAATCGTGACGATCGTATTTCGCACAAAGCATACCGTCGCTCGTCAACGCGTACTTATGCCCTACGGGAGGATTTTCGAAGGTAAATGCCCGACGCGTTTACGAGAGAGGATATAAGAGCGACGGTATATATACTCGTGTATGTAGACAATATACGACGAGCATGTACGTACATGCGCACACACGCATACGCGAATGCAAATCGGGAGATCCAGCCGCACATCCGTCTTTCCCGGAAATCCCCCGTTCGAGCCATCCTCACTTTCCGATATACGCTTACCCATTAATGTGATAAACGTTGACGTGATCCGGCAGCGTTTCGCCATTTTTCCGCCAGACCGGATACGGTACCCTCGAGTCCGGGCAAGACGGTCGGACGACGCACGCCAGCTCGATGCCACTTCCGGTCTTGTAATATCGGTCCCGCAACTCGTGTCTGGCTTCGTCGATGATTCTAATATCCGGCGCTGCAAAGACGGAGACGTACTACTGAATAAAATACTAATGACCGATCAAGGAGCATTCTTTCTTTATTGCGCTCCATTTTGCTTGCGATTGCATTCTCCAAGGAATTCGTGTAATTTAATCACCGAAAGTGTGTAAAGATTCGAGTATTGATTGGATTGCAAAAGAATTTGACGCGAAATATATATATATATATATATACATAACCGAGAAATGTTTGTCACATTTATCAATCAATAAAATTATTTTAATTATTTGTTTTATTAAAATTAATTCGTAATGTATTTTATATTTAATATTTTTTCCTATTTTGAAAAAATCTTTATTGTTCTTAAAATATTAGATATAAAATACATTACGAATTGATTTTAATAAAACAAATAATTAAAATAATTTTATTGATTGATATTTTGAAAAATCTTTATTGTTCTTAAAATATTAAATATAAAATACATTACGAATGAATTTTAATAAAACGAATAATTAAAATAATTTTATTTATTAATATAAATGTGATAAACATTTCTCGGTACTAAATATCACGACCTTCATTCCAATGATAAGTGAGATCTTCGGCAGGGAAAATTTTTCTCGCCGTCAGTCCTTACATGCTCGTATTTCATTTTAAAACATTTGCATAATCAACATCCACATTTCGTAATTAAAGAGCGTTGGAAGGGATGCGGGTAAAAAAATTATCACGCGAGACAAGATTGGTATGCGCAGACGTATTTGCAGATGTGAGTAAAATAAAATAAAATAAAATAAAGTCGCCGTTGTATGCAACGAGACGTACTACGTGATATAACTACTGCGGCTGCGGTTTACTTCCGCTTGCCGAGACGCCGTGCCGCAAGATCTTTTCACGGTAATTGAATCTTTACGAGGACGGAATTTAAATTCCCGACACTGTTTTCTTCCCCTTAGATGAGCCGACAATTCGTCGACGTACAATTCAGATTTGTGCTCTTGAAATGAAAAACAATGCATGCATCTCTCGCGCAGCCACCGACGTCGCCGGATTACGGTGATGCTCTGTAATATATCACTCAAAAGTATTTGGAGGATTCACGTAGAATTTCGGCCAAAGTTATATGTATGTGAAAAGTGTAACTCTATTATAAACCGCCGGAATTCTATATAATTTATAATCAGTGCCGTAACCAGGGCGATGCCTCGCAAGCTTCAGAAACGCGCACACAGTTTCAACACGATTTAAAATCAAAATATATAAATTTGAAAAATATATTTAAATATTTTGAACAAATTTTTATAAGAAACATATATTTATTTGCGACAAATAAATATTTACAACAAATAAATTCTTTAGTTCAAAAGTTTAATTTTTTATAAGTATTTTGGAGGAAGAAGGAGGCACAAAATGTTGAGCTTGCAAAATAATGTATGAAATATCTAAATTTTGTGAAATAAGTACGAATACTTTCGTAATTAAAAACATCTTTTAAATAAAATTACCAAATATATAATTTCAAAAATAAATCTGTATAAACTTTACACACTAAACTCTTCCTGCTTACACAGGTCATATATTAAAAAATAAATAATATAACATTAAAATTCATTACATATTACATATAAAAAAATATCTTTATTATTTATTCAAAATACTAATTTCTGATTATGTTTAATTAATGCTTGCGTTATAGTAGTTTACATCCATATTAATACACTGATTTATACGTATTAATATTGAATTGTCGTTATGCAAATATTATTAAATACTTCGCAAATGCACAATGAATGATCTCGAATCACTTTTGCGAATCATAGCTGACGAAAATAGGCAATTAATAAATCGAAGAAATATTTTCCTATATAAAAGAGGCAGCGAGCTATATTGCTCATAAATAAAAATAAAGGGCATAATATAAACATTAAATACAGCTTCGGCAAAGTATACCTCTTTTCACGTTTGCACAAGATTTGAAATTGCAATATGTATATATGCAACATGCGTTGTGACATTTCCCTTATTATTGACGCGACGTGCTCGCACATTGATTAAATCACTTCTGTATCTATTTATATATAATCTTATACTTTTGTGTGGACTTGCCCGGAATATTTTCGTCCCTTCTCCCTTTTTTCATTTCCACATAAAAGCACATGGTATTACCGAGAACAGTGACGTTCGTGACCAGCATCCTTGGCGGATGCGTATTCACTTGGCAGACGTATACTCCGTGATCTTCCCTTCGCACACCGGAGATGGCCAATCTCCAATTGTTTGGATACTGGAAGCTCACGCTGTACCTCGAATCCGATATGTGGGTAGTATTGCCAAGAGTTAGGAGCGATGCCCACTCGGCGTTCCGTCGCAGCCACATAACCTGCGGAATTCGTTATATATTTATCGGTCACATTTTCAATTGGTATTATTACACACGGCGCGAAATAAGTGATTATGCTAGATATTTATCAGACGGAATAAGTAGTAGTGCTAGAGACAAGCCGTACAACCTGCAGAATTCGATAATTATTATTATCGATCACATTTTTAATAAGTACTATTATACACGCCGCGAAATAAGTGATTATGCTAGATATTTATCAGACGGAATAAGTAGTACTGCTAGAGATAAGTGAAACAGCTGTTGTACAAGAGCCGCAGCGTACATTAGATCAATGAAGACAGAATGTAAGTTATATATATTTATTAGTTATATACATATATGGTAGATATATTTATTAATTATTGTAGGTGCTTATTAGACAGAATAAGTAGTAGAGCTAGAGACAAGTGAAACAGCTGTTATACAAGAGCCGCGGCATAAGTTAGAGCAGTGAAACTGAATGTAAGTTATATGCATATATTTATTAATTATATTATATATATATATACCATGAATTATACATATAATATATATATATATATATATATATATATATTAATGTATATTAATATATTATTTATTATTTATACAAATAAATTATATATATATATATATATTTAAATATATACGATATCGCTCTTTATAATTTTTCAAAATAGCATTAATCGAATTGCAGATAATTCGACGATATGTTATGCACCTTCTTTCCGGAGAGCATCGCGACGCGACAATCGAGAAGAGCTGTTGCACCGAGATGCAACGCCACATTTTGCGGGCTATTGATATCCTGGCCGTCTGCATTCTCAAAGTACGGATCCCAGTCTGTGACACGATGATGCCTCAAACGCGGAATTCGTAGAGGAGGCAGATTGGCTATTATTTCCTCTGAAACATATATCGTTAAACGAATCTCATTAGATTAATCCTCCTCATTTTTGAATTATGTAGTTAATGAAATCTCTTTCTCTGACGCGTCGATATAATATTAACGTAATAATCTTTGCACTTTGCACTGTGACTTTCATATTTATGTCATCGCGCATATACAGGCTGGACCATTTTAATGTTCTACTCTCAATTTTTTTCCCATGCCTTTACAAAATTAATTTGTTTACAGATGATGCCAGAATTTTGATTAATTATCATTTTTTTAATAGAAACTTTTTTTAACAAAAATCGTAAATCTCGTCGAAATAAATCTAATCACATGTTAAGGGATTTTTTTATTTTCCATCGATTGCACAATTTGTTAATTTTGAAATATTAGCATTCTAGATATTTAAAATGGCCCATGTTAGTATGCTTGTACATAGATTGATTAGCTTTTAAGTTGCGAGAGACTCGCATTAAATTGTTAACTATGTAGGAAGGCATGAATAAAGATTTGAACTATGTTTTCCAAGATACAATCTCACCAAGATTTTCCGGCGTAAGCCGCCGACATCCAGTTTGAATAGTACGGCTGTAATGGGATTCTCATGAAAACGCGAGGTTCTCGTTGAAAAGCACGGAAAACGCGAGTACGCCATGTAAGTTCAAATAAATTGCGTATTCTCGTTTTGCTCAATCGTCATCTCCGCTGTTCTTTAGCCGTATGTTTCATACAAAAAGCATTGCATTTTCAAGTACCCCCAGATTTAAATGTCAGCCACCTCCACGTTTGTTCAATCACGTTTCTTTCGCAATAAGTTACATGCGATTTATAATAAAATAAATTTTTATTTTGGAAGAGAGAAAGAAAAATGCTTTTTTCTTTTCTTCGTGTCTTATATTTCTCTTAATTTTATTATACTTATACTAACGGAAGCTGTAAAAATACATTTTTTTAATTAAACAAACGTGTATTTCTTCAATTATGGTGACAGAAGTAATCCCATTCTTCGTAATGCTTTTATTACGCGCATGCTCTAAAAAGAAATTGTACAGTTTCCATATACATTATCTTTATTATCAAAACTTATTAAAATTTTTCAATTATGACAACACAATATTTGCAATCGTATATGAAAATGTATTTATTAATTTATTAAAATTTTATTTATTCAAGTTTTTAAATTATAATAATACAATGTTGTGATCATAATTGAAAAAATTTGAATAAATATAATAAAGTTTGCTATATATATAAAATAGAATTTCTTTTTCCTTTATAAGAATACTGAATGTATTATATTTTAATACTAAGCATTATTTCTTTTCAAATCTTAAATTTTATTGATATCACTTGTACTTAATATTATTTATCGTTATTATTTCATCGATATATTTTCACGTAAAATACACATCATTTGCTGTTGTATTTATAGAAAAAATTTTGTGCGTTGATGAAATATCCAATGGCAAATAAAAAATAAAGAATAATATATTAAAAAGTAACAAGTAATATTTGTCCAAATATCGTGAAAAAAAAGCCGAAGCTTAAAATAATCGAGATTTTTCAACGAGGAATGAAAAGCAATTGAGCTTGGTTCGATAAAAGGTATGTGCTGTAATTAAAAAGCAGAGAAAGAAAGATTAATGATAGAGAAAAACGAATGTCATAAAAGGAACGGATATTCAAGAGAATAATAGGCTCAGGTTTTTCCTATTAATTATTCGATAATACTAAGTATTCCGGATGAACGGATATTCGTATCACATAGCTCTCTCGAGCATAAGGTGGGGATCGATTAAAGAGGAAAAATTCCGTAGAGAATTTCAGAGAAACGCGGAACAGGGTGCGAAAGAATAGAGAGAGTGCGCAAGATAAAGTTGTAGCCAGGTAACCTTTTGACCCTTTATTTCGCACTCTTTGTAGAAGGTTTCGCTCTCGAGGTTGCGAAGCACTCAGAAATTTTACGGATACTTGAAACACAAAAGGTACAATTATACTGTAATAGTGAGCAGGTGGCTTCCCGGCAACGAAAACGACATGGCGTTGGAAAGTTGCGGATAAGGTACCCACGGTATTTCATCCTGACGTCATTTCCTCATTGCGCTTTATGTATTGTCTTATGGCTCGTGTAAATTTATAGAAACTTTTGAAAAAGTACATCTTTCATAAAAGTATAACGCGAAATATACTAATCGCTCGAAATACACTAAATCTTTTTTTATTTAATGTATATACATATATATTTTTATGTCCTTTTATCTTTTATTGCAATGAAAAATACATTCGATAAATTTTTACGAAAAGATATTGATAAAACTACTAACAAAATAAAATATATAATAATCATTTTAATTTTCGCTTATTCTCTCTTCTCTCTCTCTTTTTCTATAATTCTCTTACGTAACCCTGAAGAGTCGTTTGAGGGAGAATCTTTCGGGTCTGTAAACGACCGACATGACTCTCAGTGAACGCGTAACAGCGCTTTCTTACGATCCCGAAGTCCACCGAGGTCAATCCCTGATTTTCTTCGTGGCTGTCGAAAGCCCGGATATCCAATACGAGCTTGCGTAGAGAGACACGAGGTTATAAGATTTTACACAGCCACAAAAAGTTTCATCTCTCTCTCCCTCTCTTGTTCTCTTTAGATACATAACTAAAACTAGATTGTCTCCCGCCCTATAAATCTCCGAGATCGCGGAAATTGAAAACCTATTCGTCTTTACTTTCTATGCAATTTTGCAATAATCTTCATAACAGAGAGAGGATAAGAGAAGTGAAAGATCAAAGGGGAGATATATAAGATGATAATACATTGTCGATATGAGAGATAATAACGAGACTTAAACTGTAAAATTGAGAAAGAAAACGGAGAATACAAGTAATTTTTGAATTAAACTCAAGAGCTCTCTTTCGGATTAATCTTATTGTCAATCAGTCGAAAACTCAACTTCATTCTTTCGTTTTATTTAATTGTATAATTATTTTTTACATTCTCTCGTATTTATTATTTTTAATTACAATACAATCTTTTAGTGTCAATTTAGAATATTTTTTTATATAAAGAATTAGATAAGAAACTGAGCTTACATCGTATACTTGTGTATTTCTTTACTGACAAACTAGCTACACTTTCTTAGAAACGTCTTAATGGTATCTTCTTTGAAAGTGTAATTATATTAGTCTAGTTGTAGAAGTAAACGAAGTAGTCAGTTTGTTGATGTAAATTATTTCAGTTTTGGTTATATCAAGACATTTTTCTATGTACGTGTGTTTAGGCACGTGTTTTAAATGAAAAGATACATACGTGAAGATATTTTCCTCTTGCAACAAATGTCCGCTCTGTTATAGTCTTTTAATTTTAATCAATAAAAGTTAGGTAAACTTCTCGTTCGGATAACCATATTTCTTTTATAAATATTTGCCGCATACACCTACTGATATTTTTTAAATGTAACTTTAGTTTAAAATATAATCTATTTAAATTATTTAAATTTATTTAAATTTTTTATTTAAATTGTAATGTTATTTTTATGAGACTAATGTTAAATGATTTTTTTTTCCTTGAATTTTTTAAATGTATTGATAATAATTAAATAAACAATGTTATAATGAATTAAAACTAATCTTTTAAAATAATCTAGCCTTTAAATAATTCAAACTAAAGTATACGATATTAGGAACATATATAGCGTGCCCACAATATCCAATTACTATTTTTCCATTTCCATTAAAAAAAAATTGATTATATTGTCGAAAGAGTTTTATTTATTTATTACAGTCAGAAATCCAATCATGTGATTTATTTAATTTCTAAACAAAATCTTGTCCAACTGTGACGTTTTAAAAAGGGATCCGATATTAAGCACACTTTTCAATACGTTTAAAAATACATATAGTAAATACACAAATATATTATATAAATCATTAATTTGTGTTGCATCAGCAATTACGACAATTATTTTTTTATTGTTACACATTTTCAAATTTCAACTGCATGACTGATCTGATTTGTTCTGGTCGACAAAGAAAATCATCCAGCCTTTAATAATTCGATTATGAAGGAGCACTCAGGGTTAAACAGAAAGGAGGCTAAATGTCTTCGTCAACGTCGACCTTTGTCTCTTTGTCAGATTTCACAGGTCGCATCTTAATGAGCGAATGAAGGAATCAGATGTTGGGGTTGAAAAAAATGCTAACTTGACTGATTATTCCTGTCGAAATATCGTGATATGTTACGTCTTTATTTACTATTCTTGAAACAACGTGATTTGTTACGCGAATCAAATAAATATCAACGTTGTTTAATTAAATTAATATGTAAATTGATTGATTTATTATTAGATTATTGCAATTGTTAGAATATATTACTAATGATTGAAGGATATTAACCGGACAATGACATTTATTTATCGATCGAACACATGGATGTACATACTATGTAATTCCCAATTGAAGCTAATTTAATTTATCTTTAGCAATTTGCACAATTTATTTCTTATTAATATACCGTACCAATTAGTAGTGAAATCATGTATTCCGAATTGATACAATTGTCGGCAGCGCAAACGGAGAATGTATTTATGCACCTTTTACAATTATTATCTTTTGTGTGATTACAGGTTCTGTAAATTCAATCTGAAAAACCGATTGAAATATAGCGGAGATGTATTGACGGCTGGGCGGATTTACGGAATGTATATTTCGGAAGGTTTACACAGCCATCAATTTATTACCATCCAATCAAGACAGGTAAAGCTTAACGGAGCGGAAGATTAAATGTCTTCTGCAATAGTTGCGTTATTGTCGTTAAATCTTTTTTTTTTCTTTCTCTCCCCAGTACTTTTCTCTGGTTTATCTTCTCATGCACATGATTTTTACAGCACGTAGGTATTGATTACTGTTTATTAGTACTTAATTATTAAAATTTACAGATTCTCCATTATCTTAAAAGAAAAAAAAATTATGTTTTCTTTCTCTCTTAAAGTGTTTTCTCTTGGTTGATTTTTTCACA